GTCCATCTGCCCTCCCTCCCTCCCTCCCTCCTTCCTTCCTTCCTTCCTTCTGTCCATCTGCCCTCCCTCCCTCCCTCCCTCCCTCCCTTTCTTGGCTGCTGGCAGAAGCTGCGCCACTGAGGGGCTGCGCATGAAGTGCTGCGAGCAGCTGCAGCAGAGGGCGGGCATCATCCCGGGCAGCGCCTCGGCAAAGGGGCAGCAGGGAAGCAGCCGGGGCCTCGGCCCTTCTGCACGCGAGAGCGGCCTGCGCCCGCAGATCGAGGCCCATGGAGGACGCTGTGGTGCACACGGGAGCCACAGGGCGAGCGGGGACCGAGCCAGGCTGGATGGCCCACGGTTGCCCAGGGGCCACGGAACGGCACCTCTTCAGTGCGGAGCCCCCAGGGAGACAGCGCCCCAGGAGCCCCCTGAAAGAATGGCAGAGCCGGGGGGGGGGGCAGATCTTCGGCTCCAGGACTCAGCGGAGGCCGGGGAGCGGTGGGGCTGCATGCTGGGGAGGGCCCCTTGCCCTGTGGGGCATCCATGCAATCAGCGCCCTTCTGCTGTGCCCCTCCGGTCTTTCCCCACTCCCTCTGCCTTTTCTCCTGCTGCTTGGCAAAAGCCCCGGACACCCCTCAAGCGGGGGCCACATGGTCCTCTGGATTCGACAAGAGCCCCCTGGCTGCAGCCCAGAATTGAGGCCAAAGGAAGGAGAGGGAGGAGCCCGGGCAGCTCAGAAGCAGCTGGGGAAGTGGGCACAACCTGGCGGGAGCCAGACCAGAAGCCCGCACTTCATTCTGGCTCAGCTCCAGGAAGGGTTCTGCCTCCAGTCCCGCCTGCCTGCACCGGCCTGGGATGAAACCCCGGGACGGACGGAGGGGAACCTGCTCTCAGGAGCCAGGAGAACCAGGCCCCGGCAGCCCGCCCCTTCCCCTCCCTCCCACCAGACCGGGAGGAAAAGGCAGCGGCTCCGGAGCAGCCTCGGGGGAGCACTGCAGGGCTGGTCGGGGGGGAGCAGTGGGGAGGGCCACGCGGCGAGTTGGGGCTCGCCTCTCTCTCCCCCAGCGCCCCAGCTGCACGGGTCTGCACGTGCACGTGCGTGTGTGAGGCCGCCTGGCGCGGGCACGCACGCCGGCCTGTTGCCTCCCGACCACCAGCCGGCTCGGCACGCAGCTTCGGGGGCAACCGGGTTGCCCGTCCGGTGTTGGTGGCGAACCCGCCCTGCCTTGCACACGGCGGAGAGTCACCAGGCAGCCACCGGAGAAGCTGGAGCGAGAAGACGGGCGGGACAAGCTCTCCCTGCCCTTGCAGGGCATGGCGTCCTCCACTCGCCCCCCCCCCGAGACACTGTGTGCATGCGCATGGGGCAGGGGGCTCGGCTTCTCCTAGATCTGAGGGGAGGGACAGTGGAGAACAGCGGTGGGGCGGGGACGGCTGCCAGTGACTCTCCCCCACGGAGCGTGGCAACCACCGGATGCCGCCTGGGCTCGGCTCTGGAGGGGCTCTCCTGCGAGAGAGACCCTCGCCGGGGCCTGCTCTGGGGGGCCGCTCATGCTGTCCTCCGCAACCCATTCAGGCGGGCAATGCCAACCGCACAAGCGCACCCCCGCGGGCGCCCAGTCCCCACACGTGCCGCACGCACACTTCCCGACCCAGAGACTGCCTCCGAGTTTGGCACGACCTGAACCCATCGCAGGGAACAGGCGGGAGGGAGCCCCTGCCCTCGCAGCTGCCGGCGGGACCCTCCCCGCACAATCAGCCCCCTTGGCCTGATCCAGCCTCGGGTCCCATCTGCTGCTCTTATAAACAGTCCTGCGGCGCCGCGGCATCCGACCCAAGCCCCAACGGGGAGGTGGGCCTCGTGCAGAGCGGAAGGGGTGGGGGCAGGCCGTGGCTCTCTCGGGGTCCCACTGCGGCGCTCGAGCGGAGCCGAAACGAAGCCCAGCAGCTCGCAGCGAAGGAGCTGAGAGGTGCTTGGATGCTTCCCGAGGGCAGGTCTGCCTCTCGCTCGCTCGTGAACCGGTGTCAGGAGAGAGCAGATCTTGGGCCAACGCAAAAATCCGGAAAGCAGTGAAGACAAACGGGCCGCCACACGGAATTGCTCTTGCGCCGCTACAGATGGCGGCTCCAGATGCCCTGGAACGGAACCGTGCGTTCCATCCCACTGACGCTGGCAGCTGCTCCACCGTCTCCGAAAGGCTTCCGCAATCTTGCAGCAAACGGGAACAAAGCGGGGGGAGGAGAGGAGGTCGGTGCGGCCCAGCATCCGCGTGCCTGCGGGGTGTCTCCCTTGGGGTGCTCCCCCCCCATCGGTCCCTCCCCACACACATTTACGTGCACGCAGGCACCATCTGCT